AAGTCATTTAAGCGATAGAAAAATCTGCCGATTTTGACCTCCATTTTCAGCCACTTCCGTCGACTTTTTGGGGTATGTCCAAGAACAAAAGTGACTCCAAATTAGGTGTTTTACCTAGGGTAGGAGTCTTGGCCCGAGATTCTAAGATTTTCCGGCGATGCGATATCGCTTTGGACACCCATGCGCTGCCAGCGCGTGTGGTGGCTTGTGGGAACTGTAGCAGAGAGGCATTATGTCCCAGTGCGATCTCCTAGTGGTCACGAGCGTGTAGGAATTCACGGATCTCAATTTGGATAACGTTTGAACCCCGAACGGATTTTACATATTGTGTGATTTCCGGGTTCGATACGTTAGAACTGTTGGATTGCTTCCAAATTAATATATGTTGATCTTGGTATTCCTAGGATCGTGTAGGATTCGACGGATCGTGAATCGGAGCCCCGGATGTTCCGATTCAATAACTTAAAGTTTGTGTTTTACGATGACCGTCCGATCGTGCGATCGTGAGCGATCCGACCGTCCGATCTGAACCAAACTTGTAGGACATGTTTTCTAGACCTTGTGGAACCTATAGGAACTTTCGGATCGTAAAATGGAGGTTGTGGGCCCCGCGGGCCCGGTTGACCAAGTTAGGACGGTTTGACCTTCGGTTGACCGTGAGTCTTTCGAGGTGGTTTCACTCTTCGAGGAGTACTAGAACAACCCTTTTGGATGAGTCTTGACCCTTTTTTTTAATTTATGTTGATTGTGTGGGTCTATGAGGTTATTTTTATAGTTTTGTGTGGGAAATCTTATGCTTTTGAATTTATTGGTTTATTTAAATTCTGTTTACTTTTAATAGTTGAATTTCCCTATTTTTGTAAAGTATCTGTGATATATATATATATATGGGTTTCGACGTATTCGAGTGTCTTGAGTTTATATATAATAATTGAGAAAGTACTATCCTTGTTGATTTTGTGTGGGGCACTTAGAATGTTAATTTGAGTGTTTTTAGCACTACCTTAGGTACCTCCCCGGTTATGGGTTTTTGATGTAGAACAGATGGCAGATTTTATCGTGGCAGGTTTTATCGGGGTTGAGCAAGGAAAAGGACGTGGTGGGAATTTGCAGAATTGTCGTCCGAGCTCCGATTAGGGCGCAAAATACCTTTTCGGAAAGGGAACGATGCCACGAGTCAAACTCACAGCTTTGCTGTGATGTATGATGGATTTTGGC